AAACCAACCAAAATATTATGAGCAGTACAAATGAACCTAAAGACAATTCTTAGAGATTGCATAGGAATCATTAGGGATTCTAATTACTTGAAACATTACCTACAGATTAAAAAAATCACATGAATTAAAAAGTAAAATCAAAATACGTCCAGTTACTAAGTGTTTTATTAAGGGCATTGGCTACAAATAGAAGTATATTCAACAAATTTAAGATGCGATAGAAAACAAAAAACGCCAAAAGGAGTGAAAAAAAGAGAAAGAAATAACATGTTAAAAAGAAAGACTTGTGTGAGTGGAGTTAGAGTCTGATTCCCTTCTTCTTGTTGTCTTATTGATTATACTAACAATGAAATTATTTGAGTGGCGCTTGCCATGATACAATAGCGGTTAAGAAGACCAAAAATCTTATCGATAAAAATATTAAGAATCGCAAAATTAAATTTCTAACGGTAATGCAATTCTGGATATTATGTAAAACAAAATTGAGTTGCTTCTGTAAAGGAAAGGAACTGAAAAGTGAAAAAACATACTTGAAGATTAGTGTTGGTGTTATTTAGGTGTTAACTTGTTGCCTATTTTTTCAAATGTTTTCTTGATAACAATGATTTTGTACAGGTTATTCTTGCAATCAGAGCTATTACCCTTGGTGTGACAAAGGCAATTAATTCCTGGTGAAGAGTGTTCGGGCTTTCTAAAGCTATATACAGATGAAGATAGAGAGTGAAATCGAATAGCATGTGAAAAATGTAATTCTGAACCGGTGATAATGCTTCTAATAATATATTTGTACCATAGTTGTTGATTAGATATGCATTTGTAACTACTTTTCTTTTTGTGTGATCCTGACAATGAAGTGCATATTTGTCCTCATTCCATGCCAATTGAGACAAAATATACTCTATGATGCATAAGTAGGTGGCTTGGACATGGTACTGAGCTGAGACCTGATTGTAGGTGCATGAGCAGTTTTAGCTTTCCTAAATTTCTTTGCCATTGTCATATATCCATCTATGGTTTGTTCGTAATGGAGATAATAGGCCATATGTGTCTTAATTAGAGTTTGGTTTGAAGTTTTTCATCAAAGTTCTGCCCCTGCAATTAGCTCTTTCAATAATAGTTCAGAGTGGTCATTCTGTTTTTATGTGTTTGTGCGTTAAATCTAAAAGTCTAAGTAATGTTTAGTTAAAAATAGTATTACGTATTTAAAAGGACTGATATTATTGGCACCATCCAACCTTTATAAATGGATGCAAGTATGTAGCAGTCCAAAAAAAGAATCCTATTAAAAAATTAGAAATTGCTCAATATAGAACCAAAACGTACATAAAGTTCAAAAGTGGGACTAGGTATGTTTTATCCCTCAAATAGGACTTATTTAGTTCAATTAAAAGAAGCTGATATATGTACAAAAAAACAAGTCCATTGAAAACATTAGAAATTGCTCACAATATAGAACCAAAACGTAAAAAAGTTCAAATACATGACTAAGTATGTTATGTTATTCACATATTTAACATATTTAATTCATGTTAAATAGGGCGATAAAATCCAGGCAACCGTGGAACAGCCGATGTCCATATATTTGATGATAAAATAGAAGTGGGTAGAATCTACATGACGATACATTTCACTGTCCACAGAAATATCGGACCATGTAGACCATGGTGTCATGGATTTAGGCTCTATTTTATAGAGAATACAAAGATAACACAACAAGTGGCAGACAGAACACCACTTTTTTCAAGGTTCCCCGTATAAGTTTAAAAGCTTTTCTAGGATCCAAAACGCATCCGCAGAAAAATCACTTTGATCTGTTTGGTAATGTGAAAGACATCATAATATTCTTTAGAATCTGCTTTAGAATGTTCTTCTATCTTTAGAATATGCTTTAGAATATTTTAGGAATATACTCAAGGATATTATTATTGTATAGAATCTTAAAAAAATATTCTATCTTTGTAATGTATATATATAAGGCCTTAACCCTCAAATGAAATATACGGAAAATCGTTCCTCCACTTTTCAATATTATTCTAGTTTATATTTCAACCTGGTATCAGAGACATCCATTTCAATTTAGTTTCAGATTTCAGTTTAGTCATTCATATCTGAGTTTAGTTTCCAGACTGGGTTCTTTCTCCAATAGCTGATTTCAGTCCAGAACCTTTAGAACCTCCCACCCTTCCCAGAACCTCTTATTCCAGAACATCAAGACCCTCGAACGAGATTCTTAATCCAGAAAATCAATTAGCTACTACTTTCCAGAAAATCAAATAGTTTTCTAATTTTTTTTTCCAGAAACTCACTTTAGTTAACTTCATAGCCTCAGATTCTTGAGGCCACTTTATTTCACTTATGAGGTGTGCCTACCTCAGACGACCTAACAGCCTAAATCTTTGTCACCCAACTGCAAGGCGAGTGTGCTACACGTGCCACCACAAGGCCGACGCGTGACACATCTTTTCTGGCTGGAGATTTGGTCGGATCTCTTCAACAGGATCGCCTGAAGTCATCTAACACCAGGTTACTTCTCTCTAGTTCTTTCTCTACAAACTAAAAGGGACACTAGTTGTGGCTCGCTCGCTGGGTTGCAGTGGTTGCTCGCTCGCTGGGGTCTGGCATCGAAGTATCCAGACTTATAAATTACCATTATCGTCTGTTTTGAGTGTTCCCGGTTTTGCATTTAACTTGCTTTCCATCAGTAAAATAACACGTACTCTTAATTGTTCTGTAACATTTTATCCTGGATATTGTGTGTTTCATGATCTGTTAACGAAGCAGACTATTGGTAAAGGACATGAGTCAACTGGTCTTTATATTTTGGATACATCAATCACAAAAGGTATTTCTTCTCTTGGGGTTGGAAGTCTATTAGAAGCTCATTACCGATTAGGACATCCATCTCTCCCACTAACGAAGCAAATATATCATCAGTTTAATAAAGTGTCATCTATACAATGTGAGTCATGTGAGTTTGCAAAACATTATCGTACTAGTTTAAGTCATCGACTTAATAAACGAGCAAACGCCCCGTTTGATCTTGTTCATACTGATGTTTGGGGGGGGGGGGGGGGGCATGTCCTATTGTGTCCAAATTTGGTTTCAAATATTTTGTTATATTGGGGGGGGGGGGGGGCATTTGTTGATGATTATTCTCGTATGACATGGTTATATTTTATGAAACGTCGATCAGAGTTATTTACTCATTTTTCTGCATTTTGTGCTGAAATTAAAACTCAATTTAACGTTCCTGTTCGTGTGTTGAGAGGAGACAATGCCCAAGAATATTTCTCTAATCCATTTAAATCTTTTATGCTTCAAAATGGCATTATTCATCAAACTTCATGTGTAGACACACCTCCTCAAATAGAGTTGCTGAAAGAAAGAATCGACATCTGTTAGAAACTGCAAGGGCTCTTCTATTCCAAATGAATGTGCCTAAACAATTTTGGGCAGATGTCGTGTCTACCGCATGTTTTTTGATAAACCGTATGCCATCTTCTATTTTAGACGGTAAAACTCCCCGTAAGTGCTTATTTCCAAATAAAGAGCCTTTTCCTATCCCACCTAAAACATTTGGTTGCACTTGCTTTGTTAGATACGTTAATCCTCATCTTACAAAGTTAGACCCCAAATCAGTAAAATGTATTTTCTTGGGATATTCTCGAGTTCAGAAGTGTATAGATGTTTTTGTCCAAGTACAGGTCGATATCTTGTTTCCATTGATGCATCATTTCATGAAAATACACCTTTTCATTATCCAAGACAAATATTAATGCGGACAATGATGATATACTCATTTACTCTGTCACTATACCGGAATCTACACCTTCTGTAGTTATTCCAAATGTTTCTGTTCCCGACCCCAGACCTCCAGTACACTTGGTTTACACCCATTGAAACAAAGCACTAGACCACCCTCCATATGTGACATTTGTGGTTACTTATCCTGATATCGGTCCGTCCTTGATCTCATGTCTTGAACCGGTACATGCATCTTCAGATCTCTTCTCTACATTAGATCTTGACCTTCTGATAGCTCTACGTAAAGGTACACGGTCTTATACTCATCATATTTCTTCATTTGTGTCGTATAGTCAGTTATCCCCTGTCTCATTTTCTTTAATTGCTTCCATCGATTCTATTTCTGTTCCCACATATGTTATAGGAGCTTTGTTTCATCCTGAATGACGTCATGCCATGGTAGAGGAAATGAATGCTTTGGATCTTAATGGTACTTGGGATTTGGTAGACTTGCCTACAGAGAAGAAGTCTATTGGATGTAAGTGAGTCTTTGCTGTTAAGGTTAATTCAGAAGGGTCTGTTGCTCAGTTGAAAGCCTGTTTAGTTGCAAAGGGTTATGCTCAAACCTATGGTGTTGATTATTCTGACACATTTTCTCCTGTTGCTAAATTAACATCTGTCAGGTTACTTATTTCTCTCGTTGCAACTCATGGTTGGCACTTACATCAGTTGGACATTAAGAATGCATTATTGCACGGTGATCTTCAGGAGGAAGTTTATATTGAGCAACCTCCGGGGTTTGTTGCTCAGGGGGAGTATGGGAAAGTCTATCGACTTCACAAGTCTCTTTATGGTTTGAAACAAAGTCCTCGTGCATCGTTTGGGAAATTCAACCAATCAATTGAACGATTAGGAATGATAAAAGACAAATCAGATCACTCTGTATTTTATAGACGAACGAAAGCAGGTATCACATTGCTTGTGATATATGTCGATGATATTGTGATTACAGAGAGTGATAATGCAAGTATATTGGTCCTAAAGAATTTTCTTCATAGTCAATTCCAGATAAAAGATTTGGACCCATTGAAATACTTTATGGGGATTGGTTACACGGACTAAAGGGGTGTTTGGATTTGATTCTTAAAATTGCTTATGCTCCTTCAGGGAGCAGAAGTTGGAGTGTTTGGGTAAAAGTGAAGAAGTGATTCTGGTGCTCTAATTACTTAGCCTTCCCCTTATTAACATCTCAGCCGTCTAACTGATCTGAGATTTCATGAGATCTCCATCGCGTCACTTCTTCATCGCAGCATTCTCTCTTTGGATCAATAGGCGACACTTTCAGCGAATATCGCGTCGCAGCAATCAAGGTAATTTCATCTCCATTTGGGTTCCTTCACCAAGGTTATTTTAATCGTTTTGCCGTTGCTCACTCCATTCACCATACCTTCACTGCAGCTCATTCTATATCTCAGTTTTCCCTGTTGAGTTCGGCACTGTTCATTTCACGGTAATTTCATCACCCCTCTGTTTCCATTTTCCATTTTTTGACTCAGATAATATTTTTCCATCCTTCCAAATATAATTATTTTTCTTTGAATTTCACCTACCCTTGAATTGGATCCTTCCTTTTTCGTTATTTTGTCATTTTATCTCTACTTAGGGTTGTAGTATTCTGATCGAATGGATTTCTTCACCAAATTTGGATTCCATTTGGGAGTATAAATCCCAATCGTTTGGGAGTATAACTCCCAATTGGGATCTTTCTGCACTCTAATTTTAAACCTGTAAAAGGACTTTAAAAGTATCAAGTGGGTATGTCAAAGCACTACTGAGCAGACCATGCACCAGCGATGATATGGGTTGCAAAGTTTTGATCACTGAGCAGTGAGCATGTCTTTCATCTTAAAAGGTAGAAAAGATTTAAATACATAAGATCAAATATAGAAAAAGTAGTTAAATAAGTAAAGTATAAAGTATAAAATTTGTATAGTGTATGTAAAAAGTAGTTTCTGTCTCTGGGGTTTTTCAACTTGTAGAGTTTATGGAAACAGCTTTGTATTTAAGAAAAGCACAAATGATAGAAACTGTTGTAGAAGAATCCAGAAAATATTAATTTATAATATTTTCAATTATTACAATTTCAGTTTTAACCGTTACATATCCTTGTAATTAGTATTATAATTATTACATAGGCTCCCAATGATTGTATAAATACCAATGTATGCCCGAGAATAAAGTATGCATTTCAATCTGCAATTCTCTCTTCTTCAAAACTCTATTATGGTATCAGAGTCGTAAGAGCTCTCACCAGCCCCTCTACCCACGGCTAACCAAGAAAATACAGCCAGACAGACAGAGAATCTCCAGGAACAAGGAGACCTCAAAAATCCGCTTGCTAAAACCTTGGCTACCCCTTCCAACAACCCCTTGACCCCTGATGGACTCATAATGCTTAACCCCGGTCAATTCCCAGAAAAATTAGACGGTTCTAATAACCTGGTTTGGCGTGACCAGGTTCTTGACCTTCAGTTTGGGTCAGACCTGAGCCAATACATCGAGGAGGATGCTACGCTGCCACAAGAAAGCGACGCAATCGGCCATCTCAAATGGAATCGACAGGATAGACTCCTCCGTCATGCCCTAGTCTCCTCCCTTAGCTCCGCTTGCAAACCATTAATTGGTTCTGCACGCACTTCTGCCGATGTATGGAAGACACTTGAGCGGCTCTATGGGACTCGGTCACCATCCGCAATTAGAAACCTCAAAGACCAGTTCCGACACATGAAGCAGGTAGATCAACCAGTGGGGGAGTACCTTCACAAACTCCGGACCTTAGTTGATGAACTGGCGCTGGCAGGACGACCCGTCGACAATGATGATTTCCTCATTCAAGCTCTGGAAGGACTTCGGCCACAGCTCGAAGCAATCGCGAACTCCATCCAGACCTCAAGCGACACTCGATTTGGAACCATCCATACGTTGCTCGTAGGATATGAAGACAAGCTTCGACGGAAGGAGGTGCTGAACTCCAATCCCGTGCTGACCGCTAATTCAGCTATCCCAGATCAGTTAGACGACCCCAATTTGCATGTTGTAGTTAGTAAGTCAAGCACATATTTACGTTGAGATAGAAATATGCCTTTCTTACTCCGTGTAACCTCAATCCCCATGAAGTATTTCAATGAGCCCAAATCTTTTGTCTGGAATTGACTATGAAGAAAATTCTTTAGGGCCAAAATACCTGCATTATCACTCCCGGTAATCACAATATCATCGACATATACCAGAAGCAATGTGATACTTGCTTTCGTTCGTCTGTAAAATACAGAGTGATCTGATTTGCCTTTTATCATTCCAAATCGTTCAATTGTTTGGCTGAATTTCTCGAACCATGCACGGGGACTGTGTTTCAAACCATAAAGAGACTTGCGAACTCGACAAACTTTCCCATACTCCCCCTGAGCAACAAACCCCGGAGGTTGCTCAATATAAACTTCCTCCTGAAGATCACCGTGCAAGAATGCATTCTTAATGTCCAACTGATGTAAGTGCCAACCATGAGTTGGAACGAGAGAAATAAGTAACCTGACAGATGTTAATTTAGCAACTGGAGAAAATGTGTCAGAATAATCAACACCATAGGTTTGAGCATAACCTTTTGCAACTAAACGGGCTTTCAATCGAGCAACAGATCCGTTTGAATTAACCTTAACAACAAAGACCCACTTACATCCAATAGACTTCTTCTCTGTAGGCAAGTCTACCAAATCCCAAGTACCATTAAGTTCCAAAGCATTCATTCCCTCTACCATGGCATGACGCCATTCAGGATGAGACAAAGCTCCTTTAACAGACGTGGGAACAGAAATAGAATCGATGGAAGCAATTAAAGAACATGAGGCAGGGGATAACTGACTATACGGCATAAATGAAGAAATAGGATGAGTACAAGATCGTGTACCTTTACGTAGAGCTATCGGAAGGTCAAGATCTGATGTAGAGACAAGATCTGAAGATGCATGTACCGGTTCAGGACATGAGATGATGAGATCAAGGACGGACCGATATCAAGATAAGTAACCACAGATGTCACATGTGGAGGGCGGTCTGGTGCTCTGTTTCAACGCGTGTAAACCAAGTGTACTGGAGGTCTGGGGTCGGGAACAGTAACATGTGGAATAACTACAAAAGGTGTAGATTCCGGTATAGTGACAGAGTAAATGAGTATATCTTCATTGTCCCCATGAATATCTGTCTTGGATGATGAAAAAAGTGTATTTTCATGAAATGATGCATCAATAGAAACAAGATATCGACCTGTACTTGGACAAAAACATCTATACCCTTCTGAACTCGAGAATATCCCAAGAAAATACATTTTAGTGATTTGGGGTCTAACTTTGTAAGATGAGGATTAACGTCTCTAACAAAGCAAGTGCAACCAAATGTTTTAGGTGGGATAGGAAAAAGCTCTTTATTTGGAAATAAGCAGTGATAGAGAGCTTTACCGTCTAAAACAGAAGATGTCATACGATTTATCAAAAAACACGCGGTAGACACGGCATCTGCCCAAATTTGTTTAGGCACATTCATTTGGAATAGAAGAGCCCTTGTAGTTTCTAACAGATGTCGATTCTTTCTTTCAGGAACTCCATTTTGAGGAGGTGTGTCTACACATGAAGTTTGATGAATAATGCCATTTTGAAGCATAAAAGATTTAAATGGATTAGAGAGATTTATTTAGAAAGGAATCAAAGGATACAAACGATATTAACCATACAATTCTTTTCTGAAAATGCATTGTAAAGATAATTTTGGTACAAAGGAAGTAACTCATAATTTGATCAGAAGTTGCATGTTGCAGTTTGAAATAATTTTCTGACTGTTGTTGCTTTAAGTTACTTATAACTGTGTCTTTCAAATGACAACACTTTTTTGTTTTACCAAACTGAATATCTCGTGTGGAGGATTTATCTTTCTTTATCTTGATTATGTTCTTTATCCTTTTTATTTTATATATTTTCTTTTTATCATGTTTATCTTTATCTTATCCTTTTTATCTTACCTTATCTTTTTATCTCACTTATCTTTCTTTTCGGCTCTGGTATCATGTATCGATTCATGTTAGCTGACCCCAAAATCTGTTGGGACAAAGACTTGGATGTTGTTGTTGTTGTTGTACCAAACTGAATTTCAGAGGAAAGTGATGGGGCTTAATAGCCACAAGCCCACAACAATACCAAATTGAGTTTAAGGATGTTTTCTTTTGGACTGTTTTCAGTCCCACATCAGACCAGATCAGGCTTCCGTAGTTATAAAATACACATAGACCAAACGTTTGCCAGTTCAGCAAGACTTATGCCACCCAAAGAAAACATCCTAAGAAATTCAGTCCAACCAACTTATCCCACACAGTTCAAATTTCAGTCCAAAAGAAAACATTCTAAGAAATTCCCTGTTGTAGCTTTGTGAAGATTTATAAAACAATATCCCCACTAATGCTTTAACTTATGCGTTAAACCATATAAAGTGCTTCAATGAATCATTTGGTCACAGATGTGGTCTGATGTCCTCTTCAACAAATTTTCGGGACCAAAAGAGGAAAAGGTTCAAAAATCAGATGTGGGCAAATTGGATTTGATTGGGGACTTCCCTTTCATTCGTTCTCCAAACGATATGTACTTATCCCGATCATTTTCATCCAAAGTGAGTCAATTTTTATCATTCACTATCTCATCATTGGATTGCTTCTGCTTTAGCAGATCAGCTAATTTGAACATTGGGTGGCATAGGTCCCACACATCAACCAACTGCATACTTGGGATTGTGGTCTTGCCTGTGTTGCAATGGTTTTGAGAACTCTTGGCTTCGTTGATTGTAATACCGGGGAACTAGAAGAGCTATGTTGTACAAGAAGGTACTGTTTGTCTAAGTGTATGCTATTGAATGATATGCAGGCTCTGTTTGTTATCCAGTTCTGGTTCTGGCTTAATCTGTTTATATAAATGGAACAAGTATCTTTTGACATACTTATTTGGCTGAGTGATGTCATGTCACTAAATGATTTTCCTTCCATAAAACCCATCAGATTCATCCATTTCAGCCAAATATCTGAAACCAAACAGGCCCTTAATACTGCTATGCTGGCATTGGAAGCCTTTCTGTGCATATTTAGATTCTCGATGATTAACTGTTATACTTTTGATTGATATAATTTTTTGGGTTACAGCGTTTGGACAGTTGATCTGGCATATTTACTGCAGAAATATTCTGCTGATTTTTACTATTTTACAGTCACATCAGGAGCTAACCCAAATTTTAGTATGGAGACATTTTACAAGGTACTTTTCCAATTCATAATATGTTCCATGAACTAGCATGTAAAATAGTTTTGCGCATGATTTAGTGTATTGATTTATCCTTACAAGTTATGCACATGTAAATGGTTTTGCACATAAATCAATATTTACTTTTGCACAGTAAAATAGTTATATGTAAAGTAGTGTTACAGACATTCAGTTTTGCACACGTAAGATAGTTTTGCACAAAAAGTGTAATGATTTATATTTACAAGTTATAAGTACAATTTAGATCCTCTGGTTTGCAGGAGCAATTACCCTCTGATCTCGTACGTGTCAATATGTTGTTTCAAAGGGCACGTGAAGCTGGCATTGATATTGAGGTTCAATTTATTCATCTTAAGCTGATTAATACTCCCTCTGTTCCAAAATACTTGTATCACTTTCTTTTTCAGGTTGGTCCAAAATATTTGCCTAACTTATTTTAAAAATAAATGTGGGCCTCCTATGAAAATTGACAATAACAAACTAGTGAAACAACAAATGAAAGATGTCACTATACTATGAAGGATAGTATTGAACTGTTGAAATATTGTCCCTACCGGTAAAACATAAAATAGTAAACCAGTAACTCACTCTATAACATCATGGGATATGAAAGTGTGATTACTACCTTACTAGTTACTACTCTAGTTAAACTGTGAGACAAGCGTTTTGGAATGGATAGAGTATTATTTACTACCTTACTAGTTACTACCTTAGTTTACATGCATGAATTTTGTTAAAATATTCTGTATAATCATTTGATGTTAGGATTGTTGGCCCCTTTACATCTCAACAACAACATCCAAGCCTTAGGCCCAAATTGAGACTTCCTTTACATCTCAACCGTCATTTAAAAAGAACTTCTGAGTTCTGACTTGCATATCTGATGTACAGTGCAGGTCAATTAGTGCTGAAGAAATGTCTCTATTAATATTATCAAGAAACTATATTGCAATTGCTTTAGTTGACCAATACAAGCTAAGGTATACTCTCTCTGAATTGTATCAAGGAATTAAAACTTTACAACAACAACAACATCCAAGCCTTAATCCCAAAAGAATTTGGGGTCGGCTAACATGAATCGATCAATGATATCGATGCCAAGCAGAGAAGATGGACAAGAAAGAGAAGAAAAAAAGTAAGATAAAACGAATAAAATAAAGATAAATAAAAGATAACAACAACACAAGAATAAGGAATTAAAACTTTCAGTTGATATTTTTAAGTCACTGTTTTCTTTACTTTGATGGAGTTTATGCAGTCATTCTTGGCTGGAGGACCTTTGTGTTGCAAGCATTTGCAATGATAGGCCTGGGTATATTGGTGAGACTTTATGCTATTGCTCCTATTTTTATTGCCATCATTAGGTAGTTAAAGTAGTAAATAAACTTATTTTCTTATGCTTGATTTTACCTCAAAAATGCAAAAGTAAAAAGATACTGTGTATACAACAACAACAACAACAACAACATCCAAGCCTAAGTCCCAAAAGATATTGAGGTCGGCTAACATGAATCGATACATGATATCACAACCAAAAGGAAAAGAAGGAATAAAGATAAAAAGATAAGCTATTATGAAAAGATAATATAAAAAAGATGAATATATATAAAAATGATAAAATAAAAAGGCTGCAAATAATGCTTATATATATAAGGATAAAAAAAACTAGGAAAAAAAAGATGAGGGAAAAAGATTATCAAGATCACTCCTTCACGTGAATACCCGCCCTCCACTTAGTTCTCTCCAAAGTCATGCCCTCATCCAACCCCAGAAGAAGCATATCACTTCGAACTCCCCTAACCCACGTCTGTTTGGGTCTTCCTCTCCCTCTCTTCCCTGCCTCTTCTCCACACATCTCAACTCGCCTAACAGGTGCATCACTCGGTCTTCTACGCACATGACCAAACCACCGTAGGCGCGACTCCCGCATCTTGTCTTCAATAGATGCTACTCCCACCCTTTGTCTGATTGTCTCATTCCTCACGCGGTCCTTCCTAGTATGCCCACACATCCAACGCAGCATGCGCATCTCTGCCACACTCATCTTTTGAATGTGTCATTGTTTCACCGCCCAACACTCTACGCCATACAGTAATGCAGACCTAATTGCTGTCCTATAAAATTTACCCTTCAGTCTAGTCGGCATACCTCGGTCACATAGAAATCCTGACGCCCTCTTCCACTTCATCCACCCTGTTCTGATTCTATGGGATACATCTCCATCTAACTCACCGTCCTTCTGAATTATGGAGCCCAAGTAACGGAACATATTGCTGACTAGTATCTCCTTACCATCCAGAGTAATTCCGCTATTACCACTACTTCTACCTCCACCAAACTTGCACTCCGCGTACTCTGTGTATATGATTAATATTTCTATTTTTTAGATCTACTTAGATTTCTTAGTGTTTTATAGAAATAAATTTGAAATAGGAAAAATTGACAAGAATAATCCCACCTTTCACTGATCTTCTCATAATAATCCTACCTTTACATAATCCCAAAATAATCCCACCTTTGCACCCTATCTTCTTTCATTGGACCCTGACCAAGTTTTTTTACCTTTCTTTGAAAATCTTATATAAATAATCTCACATTTATAAAGATATAATAGAAAAGTGAGAGGTAAGATTATTTATATGATTTTCAAAAAAAGAGTAAAAAACATGGTTAGGGTACAATGAAAGAAGATGGGGTGAAAAGGTGGGATTATTCTGGGATTACCTAAAGGTGGGATTATTATGAGAAGACCAGCGAAAGGTGGGATTATATTTGAAATATATCATTTGAACAAATAATAATAAACATAAACCAATTGAGTTTTAACCAGTGTTTTATTCTCCTAAACAATTTTTTCTTCTTAACTTCTTCTATGGTCTCCTTTCTATTTTCTTTCATAGCAATTTCCAAATTTCTAATAGACTCAAATGGTATGTTTGAATTCCAGATATTCCTTTAGAAAGAAAATAAGAGAAATTTATAATGACTATATTTTATCATGTTTTGTTTTAACTTGAAAAGACATGAAAATGAAGTATGAATACAACGATAACAACAACTGAATGAAGTATGACTGTTTTTATTAAAGTTAAACACATTTAAATTTGTGAATCATAATAAAAAGATATAAATGAATAGAATGAGCATCAACAACTATTTAAAATAAAAGCTTTCAGTTTTATATCTTTTATTATCTCTCAGTTTTTCTTTCCTTTATGTTTTCCTTTCTATTTTATTTCCATGTATTTTCCAAGATCCGAACAGACTCTAAGGGGATCCAGATCATCTGCAATAACTCCGTTACTCCACCACGGGGTTACAAAAGGGACAGTCCCAATTTATTTAGATGACCTTTTTCCAATTCAATGATTTCAATCTTGCATTTAGTAGCGCTCAAAGGTGGAGTGACGCTAGAAGATCCAGTCCTTTTGGAACACGAAAAATACTAAGAAAGAAAGTTGGAAGGGAAACATATACTCCCTCCGTCCCTAAACATATACTCCCTCCGTCGTTAAGCGCACAGCGAACCGCAACAGCAGACCTCAGTCTGCAGGTACTCCCATCCACAATCAATTCACATAACAAGGCAAAGCTATTGAAAGAAGAATCTTCTAGTTCGCTAGTTTTGTTGCCAGATATTTCTCAACCAGCGCAGGATTTTTCCCAGACAATAAAGAAGATTGAGAGGGAGACAACTGAATCTGGAATCAAGAAAATAAATAAGAAGGACAAAATCTAGGAGCGAAGACAGGTTAGTCCCTTGCCAGATTACGTTTCTCCTAATCTTACAGATGATGTGGGTTTAATTCCCAGCCAAGTTTCTATTCTGGATCTGCTTATCCACCCATGTTCCTTTGCAAGTAGAGTCCTAATTGCTTTTGAAACGGTTCTTGTCAAAAGACAACAACCCCCACAACCAAAGGAATTTTTTTAGAAAATTCATGCCTGGAACAATAGAGGTCTGGTCCAGTGGTTCATAGGATCATGTTTACCTTTTCTCGGGAGATTCTGCTATCATATGGGGAAAACGTCCAATGATTCACGATGATGAAAAATCTAGCCATTTCCAAAACCTTGACAGAAATTCACTGATATTTGCAACTTTAATGGTCAAAAACTTAGCAGGTTCTTTACCTGCTGTGGTATCCAAATGGGTACAAGACAAGTGGGCAAATTCTTCAGACTATGGTACAATAGTGGATTACATAACTGAGGAATCAGTTATGAAAGTTGCAGAAATATAAGAAACCGAATTGCAGCCATGGGGTGAGAGCAGGTTAAGCTACCCCCAGCTTGGCTTACATAATCCATTCAAAGCAACTGAAAGATATCTCATGAGGGGAGACATTTCTGCAAAGACAGATGGAGCAATTAATGAAATGGTGATGATAGAAGGAAATGAAGTTGTACTCAGAATGGGGATCCACAGAATTATAACTGCACTGGGTGCTGTAGGAGTTGACTTTGTATTCTCATGCACAAGATGTTGCTCAGTTTCTGTGTTGCATCACACTGACAAAGAGGATCAGGGCATGAACATAAATTTTACTAAGGGTGTAGGTGATACACATCAGGAAGACAAGGAAATACTTGTGGCTATGGAAGGCTTAAAAGCTAGTGAAGAAAATGAAACTTCACCAGAAATATTCTATGCTACAGAAACATTTGGGAGTTGGAAAGACAATGTACTAAAGCTATTTGCTCTGAAAAAAGTGAGTTATTGGGAAGGTAGAAGCGCAAGGAGGAAGAGGAAGAGGAAGTATAAGATTTTGGCTGTTTCCTATCAACCACCTTGAGGGCAAGGTGGATGTTTAGGGGGGAGTATTGTTAGGGTTATGACTACTTATAGTAATAAGGATAGATACTAGAAGAAATAAATAGAATAGTTGTTAATAGTTGTCTTCTGTTAGTAGCTATTAACTAAATTCGGTTGAGTTGTAATACTATAAATAGTAGGAAGCTGGATATTGTGAGAAGGCTGTTTCTGACTTTAGTCAATTCTGGGAAGATAGGAGCTGTAACTCTATCTTTGGGGGCTTCGGCTCATTGTTGCCTTGAGAAATAAAGTTCTTTCAATTGTTCTTGTTAGATTTTCTGAGAATTTTTTTGTTGAATTCAGATAGTTCTAACATGAAGTAAATTTGACACGGGGATTAAGATAGTGGGTATTGTGTGGTGAAGAGGTTTGCAGAGGAGAGAGAAATGTGTAAGAAATATTGTAAACCACAAATTCTTTGCCAAAAAAGGAAATAGAAGATTATTTTGGGACGGACAAAAAGAAAATTTGGAAGCTAATTCATTCTCAAACTTAATACATGTATACTTGAGAGAAAAGAAAAGATAGACTCAAACTTAATACATGTATTTTGTAGATTTGTTCAAAATTCAATTGCGTTTTACCTATTTATTTATATTTATTTATCTATCATAGAAATAAGTAATTTTTAAATGTTTTTTTTTAAATTTAAATGGTTTTAAAAATTTAATAGTATTTCATTTTCTCTAGCACTTCCTAAGGTATAGACAAGCATAAGAAAATAACTCCTTAGCATTTCCCCCCATTTCCCTTAGCATTCTCTAGGGTCCAAGCATACGTTTAGGGTGTAAGGTGGCGATTCACATTGACTTTACTTGTTGCAGGTCACTATGTTGTCATTTGTGGCTATGATGAGGACACAGACACATTTGAGATCCGAGATCCAGCAAGCTCACAGTTTGTTTTATTCTTTCTCAGCATTTTCATTCTTCAAGCTTTTATGATATTTCAACCTGAGGAAAAGGATAAAAATTTGGACCCAATATAGTCCTTCACTCCTACATAGCCAGTTCGAATTGAGAAGGGTATTGTCCATTGATTATATTTAGGCTCACATTCCGGGCATAATTTAGTCCTCAATTGTATCATTTGGACCGAATTAGTACTCTACAGGCAAGAAATACTTCTTTTAATTAGAGAGGAATATGCTTGATGACTAAATTGAGTCCAAGTAACATAGTAGTGTATCAAATTGAATAAAAAAGAAAGTGGAAGACCAAATTCAGTAAATATTAAATGGCCGATGGCAAAATCGGCCATATTACTTAAAGTTAATTATATTGTTGAGTTTTTGCACTCTATTTCTAGTGACTTAAGAAATACAAAACCTTGTGTACAGGAAACATGAAAGAGTAAGTTCAAGGTGTCTTGAAGAGGCTCGCAAATCCTTTGGCACTGATGAGGATCTACTACTGGTAAATCTGTGTAGATAGTAACTGATTAACTTTTGCTGCTATTTGTGTACGGTGTTTAGATTTGTAAATACATTTGTATATAGTCTATTACTGTATAACCTATGAGATTGTATTCATTTTCTGTTTTGTCCCTAGAGTCTTTGCTCGACATAATTGATGGTGCTTTTGTTCAACATTTGCAGATACGTCTGACCAACGACAATCCAAACAGCCCCTAAGTAGTCTTAGCCTCACATTGTTGCTGCTTTAGGTGTCTTTTGTGGTTGAGACATTCATGATCCATAATTCGATGGCCCCCAACCATACATACTCGTAAAAACTGAGTCATGTATAGCTTTGTGGTGACTTCCTGTCTGAGGGTCGCTCAGAGAAAATGTACATTACTATATTTATTGCTTGGATGAATAAATGCAGTTGTTTTTATCATCAATGATGGAAATCTTCTTTTCTAATCCCTGCCGGCAATTTGTATCAACTTTATTTCTTTTTTTGGTTAATAAATACACAATACAGCTACAATGATAAAAAAAAACAAAATTGGGAAATATAGGATACGGATTATGATTTATGAGCACATATTTGTCTAAATAATGAAAAATATAGGTATTTGTTTGCAAAGAATATTTCATACATTCATTATTATTAAATTATATGAGCTGTACCAAAAGTTCATCAACATGTAAGGATTAAAAATTTACTCTTCAGTTAAGACTTAAGAATAATTAGTACTGTAGCTCATTGCTGGAAATTGGTGACATCAATGTGAGTCGCTGAATGTTGCTTGTCTAAAGTTAGCTTGTTACTTGTATATAGGGTTGGATTCAGGCCGGGTCGGGCCTAGGCCTGGGCGGGCCGCGGTTTGAATAGGTGGACCCGGGACCGGCCCGGGTAGCCACCGGGTCCGTTCTGGGTCCGGGCCGGGTCTCGGGCTTGGTTAATTTTTTTAAAGAATGTTATATAATCACATTATTATGTAAAGAATGTTATTAAATTTCTATCAATGTGGATTTCCAAAATATTATTTTTTTACAATGTTCACTACTACGTAGTTAAATATAATTTTAAACAAAGTTGTACATTGACAAATATGAAAGTCAAACTGTTGCAACTACTTCCTCCGTCCCCACTTACTATTTTTGGATGTCCCATATAGAAGTTATCACTTCCATTTTAGGAGATAATTAATAATCTTAAATAACAATTTAATCATTAAATATTAAAAAATAATACATTTATAACATCACAGTTGTCACCATTAACCCATTATATTGTATACGTATTATATTATTGATGGATAGTCTACCCGGGGGTAGCTTATCCGAGGGTTATTACGGGGAATAACAAGAGAGAAGTCAGAGCAAATGAGTATAGAGAGAGAAAGTATATTAGAAAGTATTCAGTGTTTTCAGCGTGGTTTACAACGGGAAATGGGATGCTATTTATAGTAGCAATAAATGTCAGACAGGGACACGTGTCAAGCGTCCATTGGCTGAGAGATCACCTCAATTGGTTGGCGCTGGCAACCGCATGTGGCCGCATTTAATGCGACTGTTGGATGAGACGTTGTACTGGGTACGGTGATTCATACGCATGTGGAGCGGATATTATGTCGGAAAAGGTGCCCTCGGCCGTAGATGACTAGCCGAGGGCTCTGAGTACCAGGGACCCCCTTAGTGCCGAGGGCTCCAGTTGACGAGGGCTACTGATTTTCGCCGTTCTTCCCAGTAACTTTGTTTTCCTGTTTTGGCCCTTCTGTGAGGTTCAGGGCCTTCGGCCAGGGGGCCGAAGGCACCCCTCGTGTGCATTGTGGGCTGCTTGGTGCCATGGGCACCGTGATTTGGGCCTGTTGTGCTTCCTGGGCCTATTGGGTCTTTATTGGAGTAGTAGGAGTCTGTGGGCCGGGGGTTCCCGGGCCATATACTCCATCAATTATTTTTCAAAAAGTACTCATACTACTTTATTTAATTATTGTCTAAATAACTGCGCCGTTTCGGCATGAGAACCTTCCAACATGACAGAAGTGGTATTCAAGAACGAGGATAGTATATTGGAATTTTCTATTTGTTCACTATTTTGGTGTACACCATTTGTACACCCACATATTTTTATGAGTTTACCAAGGCAATTCATAACAAATAATGCAATTATTAAGAGGGTGTACAAATGGTGTACACCAACAATGGCTCTAGTATATTACACTGAGCATAAAGTACGAGAAGTAAATTTCAATACTAAGGGCAAAATGGTTGTGTGATATAGATTTTTTAAAAAGAATATTAGTTAGAATAATATGTGATCAAGATATATTCAGATTATTTGAAGACTACTTGAAATGCTATATGTGATATTTGGGTACATGATCAAGAAATAATCAGAGTATTTGAAGATGGGGGGTTGAAAGTCATGTTTTTTTAAATTATCAAAAAGGTTATTAGGCAGCAAAAAAAGAATCACTGAGAACTGATTTTTGAAGATCATCAATGGAAATGCTATAATGATACAACTATGGTACAAAAATGTCAAAGTATAATCATGTAAACCAAAGCGGAACAGCCTCTACACCTCAAATCATCTATGATTGTAATTTAAGACTGCGAATAACTAAAAATGCATAAAAGTTCAAACATGTATATCACAAGAACTTTCTCTATCACTAAGCCTTTGTTTGTTTGTATGCAAGTGGTACTTTTCCCCGGTTGGGTAGGCAGGAAAGTGGGAACATGTATACTTTTTCTTTCTAGTTCTACATATATAACATATACTTCTTGCCTTTCTGTTTCTTTGTTATTTCTTTTTACCGGATAACACACAAGTTAACTTATTGTTTTAGGTCTTCGTCTCTCTCCCCCAATTCCTCTTTTCTCTATTTCTTCCTTAAAACAAAAAAGGCCAAGTATTCTTCTCCTTTGCTTTTTACGTGGGCATCAAGTAATTCAAATTTTATGGTTGAGGTTTATTTAGAAATGAAAGGTTTAATATCAACCCGAACCACTCTTTCCCTGAAAAGAAATGGGAATAACTTTTTGGGCTGACAAAAAGGGAAGGTGGGAAGAACATTTAAAGACGAACAAAGTACCTCCCCCTGATACTTCTGAGCTAAAAACTATCACATGTATAGAAAAAGGATGTGAGTTTTACCTCAAAAGTATCCTAAAGTGAAACGCAATATGTCTCAAGGGCGCAAAGCTTCACAAAAGCTCTCAAACGTAACAAGTGTCGCAGTGTGTGTACCAAACAAAGCCCATATTCCCCAAGAGAGTAGGCAACTAATCATAAATGTAAAAAAGGATATCTATAGTAATCCCAGTCAACTGGACCAACTGCAATTTTGCTGAACTCAACAGCAGTGGCATTGATGCCAGAAAAGATGTAGTCATTGCTTTTGTCAATCAGTTTAACAAGGTTCCCAACACTCACCTTGTCCTGAAATGGAAATTTGGTTGAACATGCAAAATCAACATGGAAAAACTATGTGTGTTTTGATTTAGTCTTTTAATTTTAATTCGAGATGAGACTATAACAACTTGAAGTGAAAACATTCTAATCGGTGTCACAATTTTATCTACAAACTCTAAGTGATTATGTTCATAAAATAAGTACCAAAAAATCCCTATAAATTAAAATAATTCTTGCTTCGACACATACTTCAAAGTATTGCTAAAATAATTTTACTCCCTCCGTTCCTAAATAAACTTCCAACTTTCCTTTTTTGTCCGTTCCAATTAAAACTTCCATTTTCCCTTTTTAGTAAAGAATTTGTGGTTCACAACATTTCTTACACATTTCTCTCTCCTCTGCACAACTCTCCACCACACAATACCCACTATCTTAAATTCTGTGTCAAACCTATTTGGAAGTTTTAATAGGAACGGAGGTAGTAACATCTACATACTTTTTAGATAAATCGAAAAGGATTAACATTTTCACACTACGATCTACGAAGTAGAGATGAATTAGGTACTAAATATATCATACATCTTCATCCACTTTTAAAATGATCAATACTCCTAATTGTAGATGTGAGGAGTATCATATAAGTATGTTGACTTTGGAAACAAAATCAATCTAGTCATTTTAACCAACTATTGGAGGTTATTTTTAAAAGATAAGATAATTGAAAACTTTATAAAACTCAATTAAATTTAAAATACATAGAAAACTGAAATATAATCAATAGATAAAAATATCAAAATAGATAAATAATTCAAAAACCTTCAAAAAAAGATAAACATTAAAAACAAAATACTATGAAAAAAAGAAATGTAAAAAAATATAAAATCAAAGTGTAAAGCTTTTAGAAATGTAGAATATACATATAACTCCAAAGTACAAAAATATAGTTTTTGGCATCCTTAACTTTTTTACTTTTATTTTTAGTTTTGTTCGAGTTTCAACAAATTTCTTAGTTTTTTATTTCAAAAAATAATCTACTATAACAGCTCAACAAAACAGATTAAATGGCAGAATTGATATATAGCAACACAACTCATTACTAAAAGTTTAAATGACAGAATTGATATAAAAGAATCGAAAAGTTACTTAATACATAAACGATAGCAACAAAACCCATTACTCAAGCAATGTGAGTAAAAAGAGGCTACAAAGACAAACAAATAAATTCTCAAGGATCTGCATTATTATTCTTTACGAAGTATATTTTGCCAATCTTATTATTATAAAATATCACTACATGATACTAATGATTTTTTAAAGAATTGGGGCCCCTTGAATTGGTGGGCATTGACATGTAAAACCGATTTAACCTTTTCAAAAACGCCCCTGTAACGTAGACCATGGTAAAAAAAAACTAAAAAACGTGAGATGATACCGAGACGTTTATCCATTTTGTGTATTTTTTCTTTCTTTGAAATTTACTTATCACTTTTATATTCTTGATGATATAAATTCAACCACGACAACTCTTACCGTGCGTTGCACAAGCACACATACTAGTAATTTTATAGTCTATGTGCTTAAACTAATTTTCGTAACTTAGGTTAGGTTTTGATTGGTGCTAAAATTCGGACATTTGGTTTCTTTCAATTTCATTTGATTTTCGTAAATAATTACAAAAATCCCAAAATGCTGCTAAAGTTAACCGCGGTTCTTCTGTCCTGTACAAAAGCCACTGGCTGTTCGCCACTCCAAGAACAGTCCAAAAACGCCACTCGAAGAACAGTCCAAAACCCGCCTTCGTTAATCCCCCTCCCAACACATTCCGAAAGACGAGCACCGAATAACCCCTTTGCTATCAGAAACGCTGCTGCTGCGACGAAAGAACGGCGATAAACGCGGATTTAGGCCGGAAATCATCTCATAGAGGCTACAATTCAAGGAGAAAACTGTGCCATCAGGGACCGCTTAAAACTCCATTATATCGACTTTCATCCGATTCCAGGTAGAGGCTCCCCTACCATTTTTAGTCATATTCCGGTAATTTCTCTTAACTTATTGAGTCTCATATAATCCACTCCAGAGCTATTGAGCTAGCTATTGAGCTACTTCTTACCTTTCTTCCTCTTTTCCTGTTCAATTTATTTTGTCTCTTTCTCATATTTCTTCGAC